CCAAATATTCGATATGCTCCCCAAATATCCCATGACTCCCCCAATTGTCCATGCCCCAAACTATACCATCGCTATGCACATCGTCTTTGTGTGCGTCAGCCCTCCACATGCACCCAGTACCTCCTGCACCACCAAAATCCTGTCCCCTCAAATACTCCACATGTCCCCCAAATATATCATGTGCCCCTCAATTGCCCATGCACCCCCAAATATTCTCTGTGCTCCCCAGTTCCAAGCCACGCCTTCTCTCTCCCAGCTGCCTTTAGGCTGATACCGCTGCGAACGCTACGCGTGCTGGACATGAACTCTTACACAAGTGGGTCTGAGAACTGTCTCCAAAAGGCACGCCACTGCACTGAGTCAATTGGGAGTCACAGTCCTCGAGGCCCCCGGGACCCTGTAGAACGTCCCTTTGGGTTTCCAGGTCTGTAACTACAGGAGCCGCCAGCCACCCCTTCCTCCTCAGGAGAAGCTGGTGGGGTCCAGCCGCCAAGCTGGCAGTTAGCAGCCCACCGTGTGACTTGGGCTGAGAACGAGACTGGCTCCCTGCCAGCGCGTCTGTTCCGACTCCTGACAACCCCAGAAGAGGCATCCAAATGATAGCGAACACCACACCACCGAACCGGCTTCACGGGACAGCGCTCTGTGCAGAGGCAAACACAATGTATCATTGCCGACAGCAATGCAGGAAAAGTTTACTCATCCGCGACCTCCATGCCCAGGAGAAGTTCACAAGCCTCTGGTGAATCACAGACAAAGTTTCTAGACCTTGCATTAAAAGAGCAAAAAGTAACAGGTGAGATTAACATTGTATTTAATCCAGTAAAAAAAAAAAAACCAATAACAACTCAAAACCAAACAGTCGATGCAGACTCACACTGACATCAGGTGAGAAGTAGAACTGCCCCGGGGTTTTGTCTGCCACGTCCTTTCACCATGGAGCTACCGGGTGATTTTGTCTGCCACGTCCTTTCACCGTGGAGCTACCGGGTGAGCGGGTGCCTGAGCGCTGTCTCCTTGCCGGGAATGTGGGACCCTGAACTACCTCCTCCTCCACCACCACGCACTTGGCTGTCTTATGCTGATGGCCTGTGGGTGCCCGTGATGCTGGTAGCGACAGCACCAGTATTTCAAGAACCAGCAGGGTCACCCCCGAGGGACTAGCTTCAGCGGAGCCTCCAGACCAACCTGCTGATCTGCCTCTTAAAAACTGGCCGGTGGAAACCGTGCAAAGCACAGCAGAGCACTCTCGGATGCGGCACCAGGAGATGAGGGGGTTAAGGGGCTGCATTTGGGTCATTTGCTTCATTGCAATAAATAAGTAACCCAGCATCCTGCCTCTGGGCTCCGGGAGCAGTGGGTCCGTCAAGAGCACGGTTCTTGTGCACGTGTGGCCACTCGGGTCCACAGTTACAGGCATCTTGTCTTCAACTGGTGTTAAGGGCATATGGGTGAGCGTACACACGATCTATCGGCCGGCCATGCCAGCAAGACAATGTCACCTGTCTGAGGGAGCCCAGGGGTCGGGCCTCTCACTCAGGTATGAGGGGCTGGTCTCAAATGCTTCCATGGGCACACAGCCACACACCCACACTTATACAAACACACTCACACAGATACACTCATGCACACACATATGCAAGCACACACTCATGCGTGGCTTCCATACACACACCCACACACTCACACTGATCTATACCCTCTCATCCACCCATCCACTCACACCTGCACACGCACGCTCATGCACATACAAACAGTCACACGCTCATGCACATATACATACAAACACAGTCACATGCTCATGCACATATATATACAAACACGCACACTCATACACAACTTGCATACACACACATATATATAACCACTCATATACACACATAAACACATGCTTATGAATGTCACTCACACACACCTAGTTGCATATACATACACATACACACACACTGGTGCACATAAACATATATTTTCACATCCACTCACACACACATACTTGCATAAACACATACACACTCACACAAAACATAATTCACATACTTGTACTCACACACACATACTTCCTACATACTCACATATACACATGCTTGCATACATGCACAGGAACATGCATTCACACGTACTACATACACACATACTCATACCCAAACACATTGACACACTAATCTACCCATGCACACACACTGTGAACTCACACACACACATATATACTAGCACACAATACATTCATCTGCATACACACGTTCACACACATGAATACTCATACACACATACTCTCGAGTATACACGCTCGCATGCACACACACGTACTTGCACACACAGTCATGCATACACACCTGCACTCCCTTTTGCTGTGATAGAAAAGCACAGCCTTTTCATCACTGGTCAGGGGTGCCTCGGGCGCAGGACGTGGGGGTGCAGGAAGAATCCGAGAAGGGCAGGGACCAGCAGGAAGGACTCTCTGGGAAGGGGCAGTAAGGGGGCGGGGAGTGAGTAAGACAGAGCATGGTGTGGTCTCCACAGCCAGTCACCAAGTAGCTGCCCCGCCCGGCTGGCTAGGGGGTGTGTACACCAACAGGTCTCCGGTGGTGGGATTTTGTCTGCTTAGATCCAGCCGCCACAGTCAGGCTCAGCCAGGCCAGGTGGAAGGCTCCCTGAGGGCGCTTTCCTTTAGGGCTGCACTCTGGGGCCTTGCTCACACTCACCCAGGGACCGTGGGCCGAAGTCAGGAGCCTGTGGTCAAGGCAGGGACCGCCTCTCTCTCGACTTCTGTGCTGGGCAGCACAAGATGCAGGGCAATTCAGTCTCCCTTTGCAAGGGGCAGGGAGGAGAAGCCTGAGAGAGCCCACAGCCCCACTGGCTTCTCGTGAGCAGCACTTTCTGCAGGCTGAGGTGGTCTTTCAGGGCACCGTCCACCCTGGTAGCCAGAGGCCACAGGTGGCCACTACAATAAACCCCTCCAAACTCACCGCCATCGAGTCAGTTCTCCCTCGTGGAGCCTCTACAGGGCAGTGTGGCACTGCCCCCTGCGGGCTTCCAGGACTGTAACTCTTTCAGGTAGTAGAGAGCCTCGTCTTTCTCCCAAAGAGCTGCTGGTGGTTTCAAATTGCTGACGTCAAGGTTAGCAGCCTGTCGCTTAACCACTACGCCACCAGGACTCCGAGGATGGGGATCCTGAAGCCTATTTGTGTATCATTAGAATATAGTCGCACCCCGGCTGATGGCTTTCAGATTGGGTGGCACCGCTTTAAATAAATCCACGTTTGGGGTCTTCGAACACAATTGTTATAGAGTGGGATTTTATTTTAGTTTTCCTTTCTGTTTTTGAAGTAAGTTGGAGCTCTGGTGGCACAGTGGTTACGCATTAGTCAGCCGTTCAAAACCACCAGCCGCTCCTCGGAAGAAAGATGGGGCTGTCTGCTCCTGTCAAGAGCGAAAGTCTCGGAAACCCACAGGGGCAGTTCCGCCCTGTCCTGTAGGGAGCTGTGAGTGGGCATCAACTCGGTGGCCGTGAGCGTGGTTGAGTTTTGAGATCTGCAGAGTGAAGGCGGCTCTGTGTTGGGCACCGCTCTGCTGGTTTACATGCGGTCACATTACCTACAGCAGGACCCAGGGAAGGCCCATGTCCCCATGGGCCCCACTGGAGCTGCAGGAGGGGGCGCTAGGCTCCCTTCCTCCTGTGACTCCGGATCTGCACGTCCAGGTTTGGGGTGTTGGTGGTGATGGAAGGCAGGAGGGGTGGAAGGGGGCAGTGGGCAGAGTGTGGGTCCCAGGGGTCCGCGAGTGTCTCTGCCCCAAGGGCAGCGGGCACAGGATGCTGCTAAGGTGTTATACGTTCCTCTCTCTCATCAGGGGATTTGAAGGTGAGCAACTTGAGGGAGTATACAGTGGGGGGGTAGGTGTTTGCCTGGCCTCAGGTCAGCGACTGGGCACAGGCGGCGGCTGAGGGGCTGCGTCACTGTTCCCCAGACTTGCAAGTCCGAGGATTGAGGATTCGGGGGTCACTAGCTGAATGAATGGCAGCCAGAAGGGACACCTGGCTACTTGGGCCCAGGCGGCTGCCGAGTCATGCATCCCTCCCTCGGGTGATTAAGCTTGCAGGTGAGCAGTTTGGGGGTTCCCTCGAGGTCCGTGGCAGCCAGCTGCAGAGAGCAGTAGGTGGGGGTCTGGCCCCAGGTCAGCGACTAGAGTCCAGACGGCGGTGCAGGCGGGCCCTGCGTCCCTCCCAGCGGCGCTCCAGCTTGCAGGTGAGCGGTG